TTTGCAAGCAATATTGAAGTCCAAATAAAAATGCAAGTTTATACCTATTTGAACAATATTTACATGAAGTCAGTTCAGTCAGACAACTCACGTGTTTCTTTAACATGTTTATTAGAAGCAGCATATAGTTAAGTTTGGCGACTAGGCTCGGGCATCATCACTCCATAGATATACATAGCACGATGAGTGATGATCGAATAACTAACCCCCGAGCCTACAGGTGGAAGCTGGGGTGGTGGTGGGGCAGGCAAGCAGCAGCGACGTAGAGGTAGCTACGGCAATAGCAGCAGCAAGCAATGCATGGAGAGAGATCTGCAGGTTAAATAGAGCGGCGTATTAAGGAGACTCTGTTTGGTTGGTTGCAGAGTGGCAAGGGGGCGTTATGTATGAATGCAGCATAAGTGCTCGAGTTGACTGCCTGAACTAGCTCGCAGGCTTCGCCCCATTTATGGGCTACCAAACTGTTATTTTGTTTACCATTGCATGTTCTGTAATGTACTTTATACAGGAGGAAATCTACCACAGCGGTAAGGGCTGCTCTGTCATAGGGCTTCTAGATATCTACGGCTTTGAGGTCCTACAGCACAATAGGTATGCACTTTATTCATTTCCATTCTCTGTTACACCTTAATCTGCTTCACAGTCTCTTATTGTCCCGATTGCACAAAGCTTATACATAACTCTAGCATGCAAGTGGCCTCATTCCCTTCCATTTCTCCTCTCAGCTTTGAGCAGTTCTGCATCAACTACTGCAACGAGAAGCTCCAGCAGCTGTTCATTGAGCTCACCCTGAGATCTGAGCAGGAGGAGTACGAGACCGAGGGAATTGCAGTGAGTTGAGTGGTCAAGACAAATAAAATGTGATATATTTTGATATACATTACTATGCTTACACTACGTTGTTCTACCTTTAATGTCAGTGGGAGACGGTGCAATACTTTGACAACAAGATCATTTGTGACCTGATCGAGGAGAAGCACAAAGGCATCATCTCCATTCTGGTACGTATAACAACTTTATAGGTTTGTCTGTATACGATGTTGTCTCTGTCACTGTGGGTGAAGTTAAATACTTTTTTTTTTAGGATGAGGAGTGTCTGAGACCTGGAGAGACCTGCGATGTCTCCTTTCTCGAGAAGTTGGAAGACACACTGGGCGGCCATCCCCATTTCGTCACGTGAGCATCATCTTGTATCAAATATCATCAAGACATACAGTACAAATTCTTTATTACCCACAGCTACTTGTACCAGCAGTCCTGTGCATGTTAAAACTCCTACATGTGTGTCTTTCAGTCACAAGTTGGCAAACGGAAAGACTCGCAGGGTGATGAGCAGGGAGGAGTTCAGGCTGCTGCATTACGCTGGAGAGGTCAACTACAATGTCAATGGTGAGATGGGCTTTTCAATAACCAGATGATATTGATATTTGTATTCATGCATTTATTCCAGTCTTATAAACCCGCTGATTCCTTATTGACAAATGTTTGTGTTTTTCTATATCTGGTATAGGTTTCCTAGACAAGAACAATGATTTGCTGAATAGGAACCTGAAAGAGGTGAGAATAATGAAAGGTAGAGTCTCACCACAGCCTTCGAAATCCTCTGTCTCCTGAGTGAAGAGGAAGAGGAGGTGGGGGGGGGGGGGGGGAGTGCCATGTTGACATGTGGTTGTGTGGTTTGGTCTCTGTTCAGGTTATGTGTCAGTCAGACAACCAGATCCTGAGTCACTGCTTCCGCAAGGAAGAAGCGATAGACCAGAAACGCCCGGAGATGGTGAGAATCTCTCTTTCTCTCTCTATCTCTGTCAACATTGTTAATGAAGACGCCAATGAACCCTCTCTCTCCTTGAAAAAACCCAAGCACATGCCCACGAATATACAGAGAATTCCCCATAGTTTAATGCTATTGTTTTGTCTTTTTGTTTTGTTTCTTAGGCCGCCACTCAGTTTAAAAACAGCCTGACGAAACTTATGGAGATCCTCATGTCTAAAGAGCCGTCCTATGTGCGCTGTATCAAACCAAATGATGCCAAGCAGCCAGGTAGATATTTACATCTTGTAATCATATTGTCTTCAAAGGCTGACTCTGAAAAACACAACAAATCTGGGCTGTAAAGGCTTAACTGGTTAATTTCCACATAGTTATCACTACAACATAGTTTTACTCAAACCCAACAATCACTGCAGATTTCACAATAAAAGCCCGCTGGGAGGGGAATAAACGATACCTTCTGAGGCATTTTAATTCCAAAGAGATGGAGGAGGTGTTGTGATTAACACAGGAAATACAATCAGAAAACAAGAAGGTTTATCCCTAAAATTGAAAAATAACCCAAAAGGCCAAAATAGGGAAAACACGGCCGATCCTTCAAAACACATACAAAATATTTGAGGTATATAAATTATTGACTTAAGACATATAATATCTCCACAATGGCTAAACTGCTTATTACCATTTCAAATGGATGTAAAACTACCATATTCCTTCCTTCTACTGATATTTGAACTGCGTAGTTTATGTTTATGTTTATTAAGGATCCCCATTAGCTTTTGCTCTCGACAAAAGCTACTCTTCCTGGGGTCCGACACTTAAAACAATACAACAATAATACAACAATAATACAGCAACATTTAGGACATAAGTCCTGACATCATTAATAACATTAAAAACATTAAAAACATCACCAATATCATCAACAACATGCGATCAAATTAAATTAGGGTTCACAGCTCACAAGGGTACATGGTCATTAGTAGATGGCCCTTCAATCTCTTCTTGAAAGAGGCTCTGGACTCTATTTCAGTAAGGTAGTTTGGCAATGAGTCCCATTCCTTTATAGCTCTATAAGACAGAAGATTTCAGAAGATGTGTCCTGGGTTTAGGTGCCAGTAGATGGCCTGATGTAGCTTGTCTAGTCTTATGGTCATGCTCGTCTCTTGTGTAAACTATTTGATCATAAAAATACAGTGGTTTTTTGCTAAATTGGACATTTTTTAGAAAAGTGATAACACGAGATTGCAGACGTTTCTCAACTGGAAGCCATGATAGGCTTCTATGCATAACTCCAATATGAGTGTGCTTCGAACAGTGGAGAGCTAGTCTGGCAGCCTTGTTTTGAGCTATTCTGTAAATGTGTTTTTGCTGCTGATGACCATATGACCGGACAGTACTCTAGATGTGACAAAACCAGAGACTGAATGACTTGTTTCAAAGTGGTTGGTGTTACATACTTTGTACATTTTCTCGCCACAGCTATGCTCCTTCCCATTTTAGTTACGATACTGTCAATTTGCTTTGTCCACCGTAAACCAGAATCAAGAACAATGCCAAGCAACTTAGTCTCGTTGACCTGTTCCACTGGCTGACCAGCCAGTGTCAGGCTTAATGAGGATTGCTGCTTAACATATGTCTGGATCCGAACACCATTGCTTTTGTTTTTGCAATGTTGAGTACCAGTTTGTTATTGTTGACCCAGTCTGCTATGGCTTTAATCTCTATTTTAAGTAGATAGTTTAACTCACTGCATGTTGATGCTGTACTGTACATTGTGGAATCATCAGCATACATTATTACACTGGACTTATTTAATACGTAAGGAAGGTCATTTGTGAATATAGAGTACAACAAAGGCCCAAGCGAACTCCCCTGTGGGACCCCACACTGCAACACCTTACTTTCAGAAAAGCTCGCATTGAAAAACACTCGCTGCCTTCTCCTAGTCAGGTAGCTCTCCATCCAACACATAGCAACAGAATCAAAGCCATACTGTAGCATTTGAGTTTGTTCAGCAGCAGACTATGATCGATTACATCGAAAGCTGCGCCAAAGTCTAACATCACAGCTCCTTCAAGCCTCCTATCATCCATGCTCTTTAACCAGTCGTCGGTCATTTGTGCAAGTGCTGTACTTGTAGAGTGACCATCTCTATAGGCATGTTGGTAGTTCGTTGTCAGATTGTTACTTGAAAAGTAGTATTGAATTTGGGTGTATACTATTTTTTCTATTAATTTACTTAACACTGGGAGGAGACTTATAGGTCGACTATTTGAACCAGCAAAGGTTTTTCTTTTATCCTTGGGTAATGGGATGACCTTGGCTTCCTTCCAGATCTCGGGGCACACGCCTTGCTCTAAACTTTTATTAAAAATGTGACTCAATGGCTTGGATATGTATTTGGCCGTCATTTTGAGCAGTTTACCATCCAAGTTGTCAATCCCAGGAGATTTATCATCGGACAGATGTAAAAGCATATTTTCAACATATTCTTCTGTAACATTGTGGAATTCAAACATGCACTGCTTTTCCCTCATGATACAATCTTTAATGATGTGATGTGACACTGTGTCCTCGACTGCACCCATGGCATTCCTCAGCTTATCTACTTTATTTGTAAAATAATCATTAAAATGATTTGCAATATCTGCTGGCTTGGTAATGAATTTACCCTCGGTTTCTATAAAAGAAGGATGCATGTTTGAGTTCCTCCCCATTATGTTATTCAATATTTTCCATAATTTCTTTCCATCATTCGTAGAATCACTGATTTCTTGCATGTAGTATTCCCTCTTTCTTTATTCAATTTGGTTACCGCATTTCTTAGTTTACAGTAATGTTGTTTGTCACATAGAGAACCTGTTCTGTCTGCAGTTTTTTTAGCATCATCTCGTTGGACCATTAAACTTCTCATCTCGTCATTCAAGCAAGGTGCACACTGTGACCGGGCAGACCATTTTCTCATAGGAACATGCTGATCGGCAATCCCCATGAAAGACTTCATAAATACTCCCAGTGCTTTTTCTGGGTTTTCCTCATGGCAAACATCAAACCATTGCACATTCTTTACCTCCTCTACAAATTGTTCCTGATTAAACCCCTTATAAGACCTTCTATAATTTATCTTGGAGCCAGCCTTAGGTATTTTGGTCTTGCGTACTATAGCAATTAGATTATGATCACTAAAGCCAACTGTGAATGACAACACTTTAGTGCAGTGCTCTGGCCTGTTAGTATAGATGTGGTCAATGCAGGTCGTTGTAATAGCCCCATGTTTATTTGTAGCCCTTCTGGTTGGTGATGTTATTACCTGAGTCATATTACACATTTTGGCAGCTAATGCAATCTTGTTCCACATGGGGCATTTCTCATTGAAGGCATTGATATTCAGGTCTCCCATGAAATATATTTCGCTATTACACTCAGCTGTATTATCTACCATTTCACAAATACCATCTAGATAGTTTGAATTGGCACTCGGTGGCCTATAACAGCATCCAATTAATATGGGTTTTAAATTTGGCAATTGTATTTGTAACCATAAAGCTTCTATTTCATTTTTCATTAGGTCGTATCGTACTTTAGCTGGAATATGATTTTGTACATAGATCAAAACTCCGCCACCATTCTTATCTCTATCCTTTCTGAACAGATTGTAACCATGCATTGCAACCTTTGAATCATCAACAGATGAGTCCAGGTGTGATTCTGAGATAGCCAGTATGTGTATATTATTTGATTCTACCAAATGGCAGAGTTCATGCACCTTATTCCTCAAACTACACACATTCAAGTGAGCAAGTAACATTCCCTTCTTTGGCAGATTAACAGAATGTGACATTATTGTCATGTGTTCATAATTAGTTCATATCAGATATACCTTAAAAGTCCAGTGATACAATTAGGTTCTGGAGTGCTGTGGGGGGCGGATTATCAGCTTGTCATGCCTCAGGAAGGCAATCTCTCCCCTCTCCCGCGCTTCCTACAATTTAGGGAGTAGCTCTTTCCTTTTCCTTCTGACTGCTTCAGTGTAATCTTCATTAATGTAGATGTTCGTCCCTCTTAGATTTTTGGCTCTCTCCAAAACCGCTGATCTGTCCTTGTACCCCAGGAACTTCACTAATATGGGTCTGGGTCTGGTATTGTTAGTGGCTGGCTTCCCAGTGCGGTGAGCTCGCTCAATCTCAATGCCTCGTTGAAGCTGGAGTTTGTCCACAAGAATGTCTTTCACCTTTTCCTCAGTTTGCGCACAGGCCTCCCCAGGCTCCTCACCGATGCCGTCAAGAACCACGTTGCTCCTTCTCGATTGTCCTTCTGCATATTTCATTTTGTCAGTGACAGCTGACAGGCCGTCACTATTTCTCAAGATGTTAGCTTGCATAGACTCACAGTGTAAAGACTGTTTCACATTTTGAGTTTTCATGTCATCTGTATCCTTTTGAGTAAATTGAATGCTAGACCTGATTTCCTGAACCTCCCTTGTAATGGCATCCAGCCTTGTGTTAGTGGAATCCATAATCATTTTAACAAAGCCTCTGAAGTTCTCCTGTTGCTGCTGTAAGAGTGCAGTAAACATGTCTTTCTGCTGATTTAGTAACTCTGTTACCTGAGCAAGAGAGACCAGATCCTCCTCTGGTTTTCCTTCTTTGCTGTCCATCTGCACCTTCTTTGGTGGCATACTGAAAGCTGTGGTTGGTGAGATAGCTCAGGGTAGATGTTAGCTGCTGCAGATAGCTCCGGGTAGATGTTAGCTGCTGCAGATAGCTCCGGGTAGATGTTAGCTGCTGCAGATAGCTCCAGGCAGACATTAGTCTAGTTAACCCTCAAGAATCTCTTAGGGATGATCTCAATAAAGTAATAATTTTGAGGACTTGCCATATGTAATCATTCGTATAGTATATAATGAGTACCATCAGATTTGCCAATCTTGTATGAGTCAGAGGTTAATGATATCTCCCCCTGCAGGAAGGTTTGATGAAGTTCTGGTCCGACACCAGGTGAAGTACCTGGGTCTGATGGAGAACCTGAGGGTCAGGAGAGCTGGCTTTGCCTATCGCCGTCGCTTTGAAGCCTTCCTGCAGAGGTGACTGACATCTCTCTAACTCACTGCCTCGATGACTGTTCATTATGTCTGTACTCTATGTTCAGCCTACTGTCATTTTAATGGTTTGTTTAAATGACTTTAGGTATAAGCCCCTCTGTCCCGAGACGTGGCCCAACTGGCATGGCAGACTGTCTGACGGTGTCTCCACACTGGTCAACCACCTGGGATATAAAGCAGAGGAGTACAAACTGGGCAGGTAATGTGTTGCCAGGGGGAAGCTTAGTGGATACAACCCACACTTAATACATTCATTCAACACTTTATATCAGGGTTTCCCACACATAGACTATACTTGGGCGGGCCGCCCAGGTATATTAACGGCCGCCCAAGTATATTTCGCGACCCATTTAGTTTTTTTTTTTTTTTTTTTATAATTTTTTTTTTTAATATATTTTTTTTTTATTCGTCCGTGACCACGACGCCATCTGCGATCGATTAACTTGTAGACAATGATCCCTCGCTCCCTTGCTCTGATATCGCCTCCTTCTGGCCTGTTAAGTGGCCTGCCTCACACAGGGGGACTGGCTGTCTACATGATGCCGACATGGCCACTGTCATACAGATCATAAATCAAAGCCCTTGATTGGTCTCTGTGTGTCATTCAAGCTCGGGATAACCTCAGCTCAGGTGAGGTAAAGGACTCTCTGAGTGTTTAGATAGTTAACTTAGTCTAAGTTCTCAGTGGGTCTCAAACAGTGTGGTCACCATTTATGTAAACACATATTTCCATTTGAGAGGGTAGTGATTGGTCTAATGGATAGTGAGGTGGGCTGAAGATCGGAAGGCTGTGAGTTCAAATCCCGCCAGGAACACCACCACTAGTGTGCCCTTGAGTAAGGCACTTAGCCCTTAGTTACTCCAGGGAGAATGTCCCTGTAATCGGTCATTATAAGTCGCTTTGGATAAAAGCGTCAGCTAAATGAAATGTAATGTGATTAGTAAAATATGCATGAATAAATAAATAAAAAGTTAACTAGGTGAAAAAAGGTAAGATACACTTTTAAAACTTGTTGAGAGAAAACTAGTCTTTGTTGCTGCCTCAAAGAGGAGCAGGGGGAGAGGATGGAGAGGGGGGAGAGGAGGGAGACAGGAGAGGCTGATTCAGGAGCACAGACACACTCACAACTATAAATGAACCAAAACTAAATTAATAAACAAGTTTCAGTGTTTTTTTCATATTGGAAATGGTATGTTATTGGTTATGGCCTTGATTTTATGATTATTGAAATGTATACAGTTCTGTTAAATATAGGTGTTTCCATAGATCTAGTCTCTTTATTTTCCCCTCAAAATGCACCAGATTGATGCATTTAACTCCAAAATAAAAAATAAAATCTTACCGGGGGGGCATGCCCCTGGACCCCCCTAGAGGATTTGAGGTCGACCCCCACTAAAAATCACATGGATAGGTTCCTAAATACATTAATAAATACATTTATTTTTTAAAATAGTAACCCATTTCCATATGTTCATGTGTGGGTAGTAGATTTAAACTATAGGGCTATCATTATGGACCCTGCCTGTACCTGTTCGCTCTGCCATCGCGTGAAGGGTCTGCTAACAAGCGACCAACAGAAAGGTTAATGTTGTTGCACGTCACCTCAACCCCCCCCGCTACCACCACCCCCCAAAGTATATTTCAGATCTGTGGGAAACACTGGCAGTTAATGGACCAGCACCAGAGGCATTCCCATACACACAGGCGTTGGAGCTGTTCTTCATGAAATCCCAGAAGGATGAAGTGCTCTGACAAACAGTGCCATCTTTGCGCAAAATGATTATACCGGAATGAAAAGTCAATAAATAATGTTGTTAAAACTTTTTTTTTTTTCGCGCACCCCCCCCCCCTGCCACCACCCGCCCAAGTATATTTCATATCTGTGGGAAACACTGTATATTGTAGTGTTCATCAAGGGAAATGGTACAGCTGTGTTGATAATAAATGTCTTTGGCTATGATCTGCAGGTCAAAAATCTTCATCCGCTTCCCAAAAACTCTCTTCAACACCGAGGATGCACTGGAAGCAAAAAAGCCAGATATTGGTGAGTAAGCAAGGACAGCGAGTTGAGAATTAAAAAGATTAAAAAATGACTTTAATAACATTAAACGGCAACATATCACCTCACTGTAATCATCATTTTGGATAAATAATGAATAAACAACTTGGCCTGATAAGGCTTAACTAGGGATTCGAACGTCGCATACCGATACTCCATCCATAATGAGTATCTGCCAGTACCAATCCACAATCATCTTTTCCTTTTTCTTAAACAACTGAGCTGTTAACAATACATTTGTATACGCTACACTTTGCCTGACCTAGCCATCCCAAATCCTGCTCAAAATGAAACACAGGAAGGAACACAACGTGACCTGTGCAATATTGCGGCTGCTTTTTATTTCCATTCTTTTTACACAGAACTTCTGGCAGCCTTTTTGATCTGTCAGCATTATTCCAACACCCACGTTTTTATGGGACACATGCTTATCTGTGTTCCCCATGACATATCACTTTGTTATTTTACAGTTTGTCACTGTTATAGTTAAGCCCAAGGGAACAATGCATTATACTTTAATTATCTGTCATATATGTCCGACTCTCTTACATGTGTTTTATCCCAGCTTTGACCCTGCAGACGTCTTGGAGAGGATACAAGGAGAGAGCCAAGTACCAACGCATCAGACGAGCAGGTCAGAGCGCCCCCTGCTGCTGACCCCTCTCCCTTACAGAACAGTGTCACTATGCTCATTTATAAAGAAATATAACTACTCACATCAGGTTTATTATGTATTTATTTCGCCTTCCAAACTTTAGTTTGATGGGGGTTTATTGACATTTTTACTTCTTTATATGTTTGTTTTGGGTTTCTTCAATTGTCATATTGGGCCTTTGAGCTTTGTATGTACACAAACATAAAGATCCCTTTTTTTTTTTTTAATGTATACATTTCAGTTCATGTATTTAGATTTATATGTTTTTTTTTTGTCTGTAACTTGTTGTTGTTTGATGTTTTCTTTGACTGAGAAGACAAGTTGTCCCGGGGTTAATACATGCATGTATTTGTACTTATAGTGATAGTGATCCAGTCAGGGTGGCGGGGGATGAAAGCACGCAGGAGGGCTAAGAGGCGTCGCCAGGCTGCTGAGTTAATACGCAGGTGCCTCACTGATACTTTGTTAATGTTTGTTTCTCTAAATATTTGTTACACATTTTGCATGTACAGCTCATTTCTTTCTCCATCTGTCTTAATTTCAGGCTAATAAAGGGCTTCATCTACCGCCATGAGGAATTCTGCCCTGAGAACGAGTATTTCCATGATCACGTGCGCTACTCCTTCCTCAAGAACCTACGGAAAAACCTGCCCAAGAGCGTTTTGGACAAAAGCTGGCCGACACCTCCTCCCTCTCTCATTGAGGTGCACCCACTATTACATACTTATATTTATAATTAATAAGTAGTAATAATGCAAATTCTATATTGTAATTCCCTTGGTTCTCTACAGGCCTCTGACCACCTGCGGAGGCTTCACATGAGAAACATGGTCGTGAAGTATTGCCATAGAGTCCAGCCTGAATGGAAGAAGCAGGTAGGCTTACTGCAGAAGGCATGGCCTAACTTGTTTTGAACAAAAAGAACAAATCTGCTCATTTTATTTTCTCTTGCTTGTTTTTTCTTTCGTTTCTCAAGATGATGCAGAAGGTTGTCGCCAGTGAGATCTTTAAGGATGAGAAAGACAGCTACCCTCAGGGTGTTGGAAGGCTGTTTTTGGACTCCAGGCTGGGTACGTGTCGATACACGCATCATTTAGCTCTGTATTTACTATCTACGGCAGCGTATTAGGGCCATTGTAGGTTTAAACAAAAGAAAAACATTACAGAGCCAGGGGAGAAGAAAAATATTGCAAGACAAATCTCAGCCTTTTCTAAGATTAATCATTTATGACGAGGTTCCTTGACAAAAAACAAGAATCTTCTGAGTTGTTGTCTCATTCAAATATGACTTTAATGTCAAGGAATAATATATCTAGTAAACTTGTGAGTTTTTTCTTGTTTTTTGTTTAAATTATTTCTGAGTTTCCTTCTTCCCATGGTTGCTCTGTAACACCTTTTCAACCTACATTGGCTCTAATGTGGCTAAATTAACACCATACAGAAGATGCTAAGATAGGCTTTCTAAAAGATACTTTTCCATTGCTTTCTATAGAACGTGAGCAGATCAATCTGAAAGTTGTCCAGACCCTCGGCAGTGACAAAGTGCAGGTGGGATTAACCTTTATTTATCCTGTGCGATTATTCTAAAAGTGCTGCATAACTTTTCCGCAGGCTCTTACAAATGCGCCTTTCTTGTGCTTCTCAGTACGGCGTTACGGTTGTAAAGTACGACAGGAGGGGGTTCAAGCCCCGCCCTCGCCAGCTGCTCCTCACTAACACTTTCGCTGTGCTGGTGGACAGGACCAAGATCAAACAGAGGATCGACTACGCTGCTCTGAGAGGTAAAGAGGGGGGATATTTGATACATTATATATGATAAAAATATAGAGCGATGTCCTTTAATCCATGATCACTACTGAGCTCATTTGAATTCCTCTTGCATTGTTATTGCTTAGAGGGGGATTGAGATTGTATGAGCTACTTATCCATAGACGCTTTACAGGAAATTGATGTTTTAATGCACACAGTTTAGAGAAGCAGACAGGAGTACCACCCCTAAAGCTGTAGTTTGGTTAGTCTAGTTTCACCACAGTCACCAGTGTTGTGCTAGTTACTGGTTTTCAGTAACTAGTTACCATTACTAGTTACTTCATGTCAAAAGTAACTCAGTTGCTTTACTAGTTACTTACACCCAAAAGTAATGCGTTACTGTGAAAAGTAACGTTTTCGTTTTTTTTCATTCCTTATAGCCTTCCTTTCAGTACTGTTATTGCATTGGAGAATAATACAATCTGTTGATCAACTTGACATGCATTATATGCAATCTGGATTGCATCGATATTAGCTGGCTTTCCATTTTTATATATTCTTTCTCCAGGTAGTTGGAAAAAGTTTTCCGTCCCATATGCCGTGTGCCGCCCGGACATGCTATCATGCTAACTAGCTCCCTGAAAGCGGGTGACTCCACTGTAGCAATAGCCTGCATGTGTTCTACAACATACCGTGCAATGGCTTTATCGACTTTCCCCTGGCTAGCAGTCCCTCGGTTACAATCCAGCCGCTGTTGCTTAGGTGGAGGTGGAGTGGCGTCGGCTGAGTCTCTGTGGTCTTAGCTACTAGCTTCGTCCCAGCATGTTGTTTTTGCAGATGTTTTAAGAGATTTGAATTACTGGTTTGGGCAGTAGATAGGATCTTTGACCCGCCAAGACACAACTTACATTTAACTAAAACGTTATTTTCTTTGTGCTCGACTAAAGTGAAATAGTGAGAATATCTCCAGGTGAAGAAACTAGACTTGAGCTCCGCCGCCGCCATGATAGTCTTGTTAGTAAACAACACAAACACGCCCACAGCCCGTCTCCGCATGTGACACAGGAAGTATCTAAGTACATTTACTCAAGTACTGTACTTAAGTACAGTTCTCATCTCTGTTCGCCTGGCTGTTGACTATATAAAAAAACTAACGGAGTAACGCACCATGTAGTAACGGTAACTGAGTTACTGAATTTTAAAAGTAATGCGTTAGAGTACTAGTTACTGCCAAAAATTACAGTAACGAGTTAGTCCCAACACTGACAGTCACACAATTACACATACAAGTGACTGAGGCGGCAGAAGACTAGCAGCTCCTGTGACTAGCAGCTCCTGTGTTCTGCAATGTAAAACTATGGATTTGGTCAACGGATCAGGTGGCTTTGATTAGAGGCAAGCAGTTTCACTTAAAGAAAACAAGATAAAGCAGTGAAACTATTAGAGTTTAATGATCTTATAAAATAAGCCTTTCCAGCTTACTGACTAAAGAACGTGTCTCAAACGTAATTCAGTGTGATTGTGTTCTTTGGTTCAATAAGTCTAAGCCAGGTTTTCTCTTATCAGGTATCTCTGTGAGCTCTCTCAGCGACGGGATGTTTGTGCTGCACATGCCCAACGAGGACAATAAGCAGAAGGTACAGTAGGACCCTCAGAAGTGACTGTTTTACCAGTGACAAACGATTCTAAATCCAGCTGTGTGTTCCTCAGGGCGATGTGGTGCTGCACTGCCACCATGTGATCGAGGTGGTGACTAAACTATCAATGATGGCCAGCAAAGTCAACTACGTCAACATCAGCCCGGGCAGGTGAGGCTTCCCTGCCTGCTTCTCTATGGTTATTTGTTGGAAACCCATTATAACTCATCTCTTCCTCCTGTGTTTTATTTGTCCCCCGCAGCATAAGGTTTGTCGTGGCTCGAGGCAAAGAGGGATTCATTGATTTCGTCAGGGGGTCGGAGCTGAAGGTGGCCAAAGGCAAGCGAGGACATCTGCTGGTGGTGAGTCAGCGACTGATCTGGAGTCATGTGTTTTGAAAGGGGATTTTCTTTTAATTAAAAAACATTTTAGGGAGCTAACTGTTCAATTTGATTTCCCTCCACAGACCGCCCCTCAGATCAACACTGCATGAAGAAACCTAAAACAGCATCCAGTCAAACGGTAATCCTTTTAGCTAACGGGAGGATTGCCGCTTTAGAAGTTGTCCTTGTTAGTTTGTATCTTGACACAATGCAGCACAAGCACATGCTCAAACAGAAGGAAGTTCCCTTATTAATTAATATGCAGCATCTTTATTACGAATGTCTTCAATGTTGCAAAAATGACTGATCTTTTTTTATAATAAGAAAACCACAACATGAAGTCTTCACTGTTTTTCAAATGCTCTTTATTGTCAGTCATACATAAATAAATGTCCATTCTATCAATATAATAATGTTTTAACACTGTATCTCTATTGTAAGAGAAATAAAAATACTTTGAAATAAATAATATGTTAATAAATATGTCAATAAATAATTAAATATATTTTGGAAAGTCCAGTACAGTGAGGGGAAAAACAGGATGTTGGGAAGTGTTGTCTGTTCTGGGAGCTTATTGCTAACTGTAAGTTAGAGAGGATACAGAAACTGTGGGAAATACCCAAGAAAACCCTTAGACATACAGTAAAACATCATGTAAAAAATGTGACTAGTAAAATAAGATCTCCTAAAGTACTAACTTGGGTATTATTCCCAATAAGTGCTCTTTGCCTTCTCTTAGTTTTGCTGTTTTTTGTCGTCACGGTTCTGTTTCAGCACTGAGTCATCAGTGTGTTTTCGAAGCCAGAAACAGGAAGTCTCTTGCCAGCCTGGTGAGGTAAAGGTCTAGATCCCGCAGAATGATGTAACCCTCCACACTGCTGTCCCAAACCGTTTGGGATCTGTTTTGAGGGTTTAATGGTGTAGGAAAGGTTGGCTTTGTCCAAGAACTCCTCATGTAACTCATCTGGAGAAGAAAACAAAAGTGTTATTTATCAAAACCATGGCGTCATTCCTCCAAAATACTTAATGTGGGGGTTAACAATGTGAGTGTGTTTCAGTAAAGAGCTTGTGGATACCTGGCTGCTGACTTGGCTCATCAGGTCCCTCAGGTCATGCTGAACGTGCCTGATGTTCTGAGGTAGGGTGGTGCCGACGGCCCGAGACACCATCTGCTCTTTTTCCTCCCCCTCCAGCTGTTTTCTCTTTCGGTCCAGCCTATTCCAATAGGCCTGCATGTCCACAAACGCACTGTGCAGTCGTTCCCAGTCCTGAACAAGAGAATGCCACATTATTACATCATAATAATAATGTCGTGCTTAAAGTTGTTAAAGGGGAATTCCACTCAAAGTTTTACAAGTTTTATATTCTGCAAGAGCAGACTTGACAATGTCTCATGATTGCGGGGGAGATATGGTCAAAACAATGAAACTTGAGAATGTGTTTAGCAGAAATACATCACAGTGATTTTCTATTTGTTTTTAATAAATACTAACCGTGAGCTTTAGCCAGCTGTAGAAATCTGTAGAAAGCAATGGCAGGTCATTTAACTGCCGGCTTCTGTCCTCGAAGTGCTTATTCCCCAACTGCTGCTCCTTCTATTAAAGTAAAAACATAGAATAATCTGTTTAGTAAGAGAACGCTAGTACTGTCTATATAACTATAGAGCAGGGAGTGGTGTGCAGTACTCACGTATTTCTTCTGCAGCTGCTGGACACGTGTTCGGGTTGACCTTGTGAGGCTAAAGGAGTCGTTGTATTTACTCCTCTGGAGGACTGGAGATGGAGAAAAGGACTGCACACAGCTTAGGACACAGCAAAGGAGGAAGAGAGCTCGCCAGCAAAGAGTCATCTGAAACAGAGATAATGGTTATAGATCATCTGATGTTCACACCTCATTATCTTTAACAAATATCAAATAGCTAAAGATTTAACAACACACAAAAAAGGGGGACCCACAGTATCACTTCCAACAACAAATGACAGCGTTCCGGTTAAGCACACTGGTTCTGTTTATGGGAACCTAACTGGCAATTTGCATACTAAGCATTGGAAGGAAGTCCACTAATATTTCTAAAAACAAAACTCATATCCACAACCTCTACCACGAGGCATCCTCATGCTTTCTTTCTTGTGTTATTCAGTGACACTACAGCTGCACGTTCATGGAAAACAAAAATGTCCTGATTCCTTAAAAATAGTTTCGGTTTGGAAGTATTCGCTCAGCATTGTCACAGACTTTCTTCCTGGTGAGTCAAGCTCTTTCTCATTCACTGAATGTATGGCAGTGTTCCCTCATGATCTTACTGACAACAAAAGCTTACACAATTCTACACAAATAAACAGCAGAAGTGTCATTAGTTGTTATCATGCATATACAGAATCACTGCAGCTGTCTGACAGGCCTAATAACATACATTTTGAAGTGTGTTCAAGAAATAAAAACGGAATGTTACCTACAAATGTTTGCCTATGTTTTGAATACCATAAACACCACTGTGCATCTTTTTAAGAAAATAGCCTGCTGTCGTTTGTTTTAAATGCTCACATGATACACTAACCAAAAATATATACCTTGTGTATATACATATACTTATATAGACAAATACTCAAACAATTAAACTTTTAATTTCTAAAATATCTATATTTACAAGATGGTCTTACCTTGGAGGAGCAGTGAACAGTAGTAAGATAGCTTCATGTTATAGTAAGGCGTGTGTACTGTTTATATATCTTTCATGTCTTAGTTTCAGTTTCTCGCATTGCTGGGCTTTTTTATTGTTTTCCTTCCTCTCTCTCTCTGTTTCAGCATCCTGTGGCCTGTGATTCATTCAGAAAGGTGAGTTGGGGAAGCGAGTTATACAGAAATGATTCTACTTTGGGAAAAAGTGTTTTCTTGAGCGAGGAATAAATGTTTAGGTAGTTATAGTCTGCAATTTGAATTTCTATAATAAACACTTTCACATTTTGTGCTTTTAGTACATAGTGAGGTTGTTTATTCCAGCATATTTAAAGTAAAATGTCACAGTGACAATCAGATAAGGATGGAACATAAATCTTAATTTGATCTAATTGGCACTTTTGTATTCCCCTGCATGCTTATATTCTGTTTTTCTTCTCTTTAAGGGACACATTTTCTTCACAATTACAGCAATGAGTATTACTGCACACTCAAACAATGACATCACACACAGATAAATGGCCGCCTTCCTGTGGAGTGTCATCACATGGTCATGACGGTGAAAGTGGGATGTCTGAAATCTGAAACTTTTTTTCAACAGGGAATCGTAAGACTGCGCATCTTAAGGGAATATTTGAGGAGTCATGATGGACATTAGTAATGACTGCCACAGTTTCACTGAATCTCACTAAACGAAAAAAAAGTTTTAAAGTTTCCTCTTATCGCAACTGTTATCATCACTGACTGTCATTATTGGAAGTAGATGTTTTTTCTTCTTTTGTTTGTTTGTTCTTGACATGAAGGCAATTATTATCCCCCTGTTTTTTACGTATGCATCTATTTATTTCCAATCCAATCCAACTTTATTTATATAGCACAACAGAGTTGTACATCAATAAATATATAAAAAGCAGCATACATACATTTAGACAAAACCACTCGGACAAAAAACAAATGCAAAAACACAAGACAATAAAACCATACTTATGGCCACAGACTGAAAAAACTCTCATACATGATGTAAAAACAATATAAAAGACAAGAAACTAAAAAAAAACTATTTAAAAGTCTTATACGTAGTCTGCAAAAGCACGGGAGTATAAGTGAGTCTTTAAACGAGATTTAAAAACAGGCAAAGTGGGAGCAAGTCTCATCGGGGTTCCAGAGCCTGGGAGCTGCTACAGCAAAGGCCCCGTGGACCACAAGGAGGAATCTGTCAGCAGACCTCAGTGACCGTGAGGATGTATAAGGTTGTAGGAGTTCTGCCAGGTAAGGTGGGGCCAAACCATTAAGAGGGCTTTGTAGGCAAACAATAAAAAAATGTAAATCGACTCGATTTTATTGGAAGCCAGTGTAGAGATGCCAGTACAGGTGTAATGTGCTCGTGCTTGCGTGCTCTTGTGAAAAGGCGAGCAGCAGCATTTTGAACTAGCTGTAAGTGGGAGATGGAAGCCTGGCTAACTCCAACGTAGAGGGCATTACAGTTGTCAAGTTTAGTTGTGATAAAACAATGTATCACCCTCTCAAAGTCATTAAAAGAAAGGAAAGGCTTGACCTTTGGTAAAATTTGCAGCTGACAAAAGCTGGATTTTACAACAGAATTAATCTGTTTATCCAATGTAAAATCCCGATCAATCTGTACACCAAGATTTGTAACATTGGGTTTTATATATGGGACCAGAGAATCAAGCACAAGCGCGGCATTTTGGCCATCAGTGGGTCCAAACACTATCACTTCTGTCTTATTTTCATAACAATTTGAAAAGTTCAAGGCCATCCAGGCTCTTTATTTAACCAAAGTCAACATGTTCTAGACTAGTTTTACTCTTGATTTCAAATGAATTATACAATCTTAAAACCAGATGGGAGAGAGCATCTTAATAGAAGATTTAACTATAGCCCTTCTCCTGATTTAGATTTTTGCTGATTAGCTGGCACTTGTTTCTAATGTCTTTATTTACCAAATTATTTTTGCTTTTATTGATGTTCTCTTTATTTGCTCTATGTGGAGCACTATGTAACTTGTTTGTTAAAAGTTATGTTCAAATAAAGATGATGATAATGATGATATTATCAGTGACATACATGTGTGTTTTCTGGATCTGGGGCAAAAGAAAGGAATCATCTACTGAAGCATCACTTGTGCTATGCAGAGTAAATAATTAAGAATAAATGGTATTGATCCGTTCTGTTTTCATGCCATATTCCAACCAAACAAGCTTGAAAATGTGTTGCTTTAATATCTTGTTTTTTGTGTGGACTACAGGAAAAGTAGTTTGCAATAACTAACCTTTGTTTCTTTTTTTCGAGTTTGAATCAAGTGTTTTTAATTTGAGTTTGCATGATCTGCCGCCTGATATTTTCATGGTCTTCTGGTTTTGATGCTTTTGGTCCCTAAATGAAGTGATACTGAATTGTTCTGTTTCATAAATTGTTTCTGTGTAAGCTACCTCTACATTTACTGTACTATTCCTGGTAGTATAATGGAAAGTGTTATTGAAAGTATAATGCATCTTCATGGCTTAGGAGTTTCCTTAGCCATGAAAAAAACCGAAGATGCATTATACTTTCAATACTTCTATACTTCCAGAAAATTGTGCAAGGAGGTTGACCAATCTTTGAAGGTGAATTCCCAACCAGAGATAAAGCGTGCTACATTGGAAGTCACCCAACATTCAAAATGATTACTACTGGGGGGATATCCTGTCGTCGTCATCATGAAAATAGAATTATGTTCATTAAAATGTGTGTTCATGGACCAATTAACTTTGAAGAAGAATAGTTCAAAATGTGGATAATTAGGATCAGGTGACAAATAAAGAGGATTACTTATTTTCATTTAACAGGTATTACATAATATGCATATCTTATTGTGGTGAGAAAAGTTACAGTGTGACTGAAACAAACAAAACAAGATGAGATCTTTTGTCAAATTTCCTCTGAGATAAACCTTATGCAATCCGTTTCATAATATCAAAAAATCTGCATAAATTCCTCTTCACCCAAAAGCTGGTGGTTTGCACCTACCTCTTTGTGGTGTGGGTGATAGTTTCACTTTGGCATATCAGTGGGCAGCAGGAGAGTGTAGACGGTTCTCCGTACGGTTAATTTGCACAGTTGAGGCCAGAGGTTGTCAGTTTTACAATAAGTTAAGCAGGGTTCAAAGCTCACTCTGTCATGCAATACTATAATTTATCTCCGTCATACAGTTTCTTACTGCAGTTAACCTATATCCCCCTATATTTGTCAGCCAATCTGTTCAAATAAACTGCAGTTGCTTTTTATTTATAGTTTTATCAATGATATAGTATTCAAAAGTACGGAATTATTAGTGTTAACAATGTATTGCGCCAAATTGTTATGCATAGTTGAAATGAAAAGCTTCTTTTAAACATCATTGCTGTGAAGAAGCAACCACATGACATGTATGTTAATATTACATTGATTTCAATCACTTATTAATTTAGATTACAATAATGCATTTTTACACTACACAAACATACTGGGTTTTGGCTGAAAACTGTGAAGGAGGGGAAAAGAATAAAAGTTCTTAAAGGTGTTCCACAGGGATCTGTATTAGTCCCCTTTTGACTTGTGCTTTAACCATTATTTATTTTATACCTGAACATTGTAATTAACTTAATCTTTAAGTTCACAACAAATACTTTTATGTGTGCCACCATAAGACAAATCTTCTTCAGGTTACAGACTGTTTATGAGGACCTCCAAACGTCTTATCCAAAAAAAAATTGCATTTCAATACCCTTTATCCACAGATGTCAATGCCATAAATGTGAACAAATACTGTGCATGCAGAAGACATCAGCATATACCTGTGTTTTCCTTTATAAGGCATTGCTAGCTGCTACCTTGCATGTTTGCTAACTGCTTTTTTGACTGGATTGACATTTTCTGATGTTGTATATACGCACTTTATTTTCAGGTCTCTGAAATAAATAAAGGTTATACAAAAAAGTGTTTTGCTTATAATAAAATGCTGCCATAATTAGTCAATCAAGATACAAAAAAACACACCAACACACACTTGGAGGAGTTAGGACTTATAGAAACTGTAAAATAACACACTTAGGGTCAATGGGTGGGTCATGGTTTTATGAACAAGCTGACTTCCTCTCAGAGAAAATGCTGAGTGCTTCTTGAGCTGTCATAATACATCATAAAATGAGGAAGGCTTGTATAAGGGGAAGGGCTTCCCTAATTTTCTCAACCCCCTCCCCCTCGTGTATTTCCCTCATACAGTAATTTTAAATTTCCATTGTGACGTGTACGGTTTACTCTCAGTCTATTTTCAGTCTCATTCATCGTGGTTTCAGGCCTCTGTTTAGTTTTGTTTGAGACTTCCTCAATAACAGCACTATAGAGATTGCTTCCCTTGTTAGGCTTGTGGTAAATTAGATATATTTTCATCACGTTACATACACGAGTTTCCTGCTAAGTTCCGTAAAACTGTCTCCTGTGATAAAAGGGCTACTAAGCTATCATATTAATATGTCAAATGTGATATTTGAAAATACTAATAATGCGATCAAATGTGTAGCAAATGTTTAAGAAATAATTAAAACAGTTATTGTCTGTCCACCTTGGTTGTGCTTACCTGTTATAATTCAAATCAATTGATAAAATGAAAATAGCACAGCAGATAGAAAAAAAAAGCTTTTATGGGTAAAACTCAAAAGTGAATCATTGAATAAAAAGGTTAATGAAAAAGATCTACAAAGCATAGTGCACCGAGATTAAATAAAAAATAATTCAAAAAAGATATATCTGCAACTTCTGTGGTTCCTTGTGATAGGAAATATAAAAAATATAGAATGTCTAAATATAAGTTAAATTCCAGCCAGGGACCCTTACTCTTATTTATTTTTTAATCATGGAGATTTTTTTTGAAGAAACCAGTGCTACAAGCATTTAAGAAACTGTGATTTCATTTAATAAAAAGACAACAGCATGATATTTCATTTTACATTCTCATATTAATGC